AAACTGAGCTCCCCAGTCATGATGGGATGGGAGAGATAAAGCCCAGTTACAAACGCATATGATTTCTCTTTTCATAAATATTCATCACTCCTCCTCTAGCTTGTTGAATATGCATATTTAACCACCCTTCTCAGTAGAAAATCTTGTTCCTTTTTGTCTGTCCTTTGAAACAAGTATGCCTGGCTCCTGGTTGGGGCTGTGCTGTCCAGCCTGTTGAGATGGCCACCCATTATGGGAAAAAAGCTCTCCTTTTTCCAAAGTGTAGATTTCACTATTTTTAGTTAGCATAAGTCAATTTAGTATCTTACAGATAATACACAAATACACATAAAAATACAGACAGACACAGTGATCTTATAGCTTTGAACTTAAACTTTAGCCATAAGACAGGTAAAAAGCGCTAGTTTAAAAGGACAGTTGGATTTAAAAATTGTAAATGGGACAAGTTTAAATTTGCCTATCACTTGGCCAAAGCCCCGACCCATGCTTAGAGAAAACAGTGTAGCAAATTTGTATCTCAAAGTACACAGAAAAATTTAAGCTTTACAAAAGATCAATGAAGTTTTACATCATTTTATCATCAAAAAAAGAGCAGCAGAGGGACCAAACACTTTAAAAGGGGGTTTTAATCCACTGAAATAACCTCCCACAAACAGGATCCCAAAGAAAAAAAGGCAGAAAGATCCTTTGAAAAAAATTATAGCCTGAATATCATCATCTTCTGATTAAGCTATTTCTGACCATAAAGCTCTTTAAAGAAAATCTTTTCAAATCTCTTATCACATTGCAGCCGGGACAAACGGCCAATATTTCTGGCTTATCTCTTATCGAATTTTAGGCAGGACAAAGAGCCTATATTCCTGGCTTTAACTTTTGTTTTTTCTTTTTAAACCAAAGTTACCTTTCCAAGTGACTCACCAAAACCAATGAGCCTTAAGCAAGGTTATGACTTAACCAAAGACGGACTAGGCATCTCTAAAGCATTGCAAAGCAGTTCTCCCAAGGTCCAGAACCAGCCCAAAGACAGCTCAAAGGAAGGAAAGTTCCCTACCTGCAAATGAGTGAGACACATGTGTTTGGCCATATCTCTAAGGTCTCAGCTTCTCTACATACAAATGCCCAACAACCAACCCTGCATGCCCCATAGACAGAAGAAGACAGGAAACCAAAAGCTGTCCATAGAAAGAAAAAGGATCAATAACAAACAGGTACCCTAAAAAGTTAAGAGTCATACAAAATCACACCAATTTTCATAAATGTTTCCTGGGTTAAAAAAACTTAGATTTCCAAGAGACCAGTTTCCTGGCCTAGAATCAAACCTGGGCTTCAGGACTAAGTGTGGAATTGTAACCACCAAACAGGGTGGAGCACCTTTCTGTGTAAATCCCATAGGCAGGTGAATATACCAAGAATATACCAAATATACCAAGAATTTAACTTTGCTGACAAGATAAATTGTTTGGTGGTTAAATGACTTCCTGTTCTGCTTCCCACAAAAATAAGAAGCCAGCTAGAAACAGCGTGGTTTCAGGAGTTAGAACTGGGTTAGAATTCATCTTTGTCACTTACTAGCTGCATGGCCATACCATACCTAGCATTTCTGAACCTGGCTGCTTTCTTATGACACCTGTCTCGCAGGTTGTTAAAATCCTTCACACACAGTAGGCTCTCAACAAATTAGCCTCTTTCCTTTGCCTCCCTTCTCACTTCCTTCATATTTAATCTCTGCTTCTCAAATAGAAACGCACGCTTTCAAGCACTCTCACTAAGGCAATCCGAACAAGAAAAAAAACTGGTATAGTCTTACAATTAGCTACTGTTTATTTTTAATATACATATTGAGTGTCTCCTATTTCCTAGCCCTTTCGTCAATTTTGGAGCTACTTTCGCCTTCATCTTAAAGGGGACCCTCGTCTAAACATAGAGATTAACTTGTTATAAAACAGTCTGGTATGTGTTAAAATTGAGAAATCAACAATCTTTTTTTTTTTTTTTTTGCATTCTAAGAAAAAAAAAGAATTTAACTTTGCCTGAGGCCAGATTTTTGCTCTTTAATTTTGTCGGAAGGAGAGGTTCTTTGATTTGGGAGAAACTCCTCAGTGCGTCCCGCACCCACACTGGAGTGGGCCCCTCCCTGCCTGCGCCTACAGGAAGGGCGGAGCGACTTCCAGATCCTGCCAGATAAGCCAACAGGAACCGAAATTAAGACACTTGAAGCAAAATAATTTCATGAAGGTTTATTGGGAGTGAAATGTAAAGACTGGCCTGGGAAGACACAGCAGCAAACCTGGGGTGTTCCACAGTCGCCACAGACTGGAACAGTTTACGGAAAGTGTAAAGGAAGGGAGGGGACTGCTCATACCAGAGCTGTCCTCTTTGTCACTGGGGTACGAGGCAGAAGTTAACAATCATTGGCTACAAATGACAACATATAAGCTAACTATGTGCAAGACAACAAGGAAAATTTTATGCTTCAGCTAATCTTAGAAGTAAATCAGTATCCTATTCAGTGCCAGTGGGTTCTATATGAATCAGCACATCAGAAATTTGAGGAACTCATGATAAGGTTCCACAATCAAAGACAGAATGACGCCATCGAGTCACAAAACCTCCCCAAATCCAGTTAATTTGGAGGGTCGCTTACTTCTAAAACAAACGGCCAAATGTGACCTCCAGGTCATTACCTGAAAAAAATGGGACCTAGAAATTTTAAGCATAGTCAGCAGCTCTCAAACAATAAGGAAAATTGGCTTGAAACCGTAATGTTAAAAAAAATTAAAAAATTATATTCTATACTTAGTTTTCTGACAGAAAGTAATTTTGCACATTTAATATTTTGATAATTTCTTCTAAAATGTTAAAGGTACAAAAAGTAAAAAAAAAAATAATACGAGAAACTTCAAGAATGTTCTGTAAGATTTCTTTATAATTTTAGTGGAAAGACAGCTTGCAGCCAGGGCCACTTGTGTCTGCCTTGTTTTTTGTCAGTAGTCTTCCAGGTCACCTTTTGATCTGACAGGTTCTTCGGTCCATGTGGAGCTGGGTTTGGGATCGGAGCTGATTGGAAAGGAAAAAGAAACTTTCCTTGATGGAGTACATACTCGCTGATTTACTCACTAACACTGTTTGGGACCTACTGTGTACTGCATTATCCTACATGCTGTAGGATGTATGAGGCATTCAAAGAAATGTAGGGCATGACTCCGCCTTAGAAAGTGCACAGTTCAGTTGAGGAAGCAAGTCACAGAGACGGTGCCAAGATCTAGATAAGAGCGTGGAGGCCAGCGTGGAGGCCAGCGTGGGGTGTGCAGGGCCGTCTCTGTATCTCTGTGGGCCTTCGCTTCCATCATGTAGTTTATCAGACCAAGACTTTTAATTAAGGTCTGAGAACTCTGAAACAAAGAGTTTTATTTTTTATTGCATATTTTAATACTGCAAAATTGAAAAATCCCTTCTGGTCCCAAAGAAAAAAGAGTTTGAACAGCTATTGTTCCTACCATAGAGTGTCATGCAGCAATTGAATAAAATGGGGCAGAGCTACAGTGAGTGGCAGGAAAGGATGCTGAGCACATATTGTTAAAGGAGAAAGCTAAGCTGTTTAATGACCCATATAGAATCATCCCACTTTATTCTAGAGACCTATCTATACCTCTATCTGTATGTGTGTCTCTATGTAGTACCGTGTTGCCCCGAAAATAAGACCTACCCATAAAATAAGCCCTCGCAGGATTTCTAAGCATTTGCACAATAGAAGCTGTACCCCGAAAATAAGCCCTAGTGCCGGGCGTGGCTGCGCAGTGCATCTGCACAACCCATGTGTGTCGTCTTGGAGCGATGAAGAAGCCTAGCAGCCCTTCTCATCCACCCCGTGAGAGCTCTATCGCTGGACATGAGAGCTTGGGGCCAGTGGTTCTAAAGGAAACAGAGTCGCAAGACATTCAGGATGGAATTCAGGGTTTGGAGAGTTATGATGACGTTCCAGAAGAAGACGACTTAACTATATTTGAATAAATGTAGATTGTTGTACCATACTTAAAAAAAATAACACATCCCCTGAAAATAAGCCCTAGGGTGTCTTCTTGAGGAAAACTAAATATGAGACCCTGTCTTATTTCCGGGAAACACAGCATGTGTATCTCTCCATATTTGTATACATGTGTGCATACAAATGCAGACAGAATAGAAAACTAACGCCAAATTGTTGCCGATGGTTACTATTCTAGGGATGCGGAGTAATGAAGAGGAACTTGCCTGTTTTATTTCCCATATATCTATAGAATAGGAATTTGTACAGCAAATCAAATCTATTTTCAGTCACATTAAAGATAAAAAGAAAAAATGATTATGCTGAGTCTTTCTTTTTAGTGTATACCAAAATGGCAGAACAAAAGTAGTGTATCTTATAATACAAAGGCGGATGAGTCTTGCTTGCAGTTTCTGGATGAAATTAGAAAAAGATAATACATTTGGAAGACAGACTGAGGACGATAAGCTAACCATCCAAAGACAGCTAGCTTGGCAACTGGGTTGTATTTTACCCACCTACTCGAAACCAACAACCGGGACAGGAACCTTGCTTTCTTTGACAACTGGAAAGGGAACATAACTCTCTTTTTCGAGGCCCACGTGTTTGTGCTTCCATGTGCCCAGAGTGTCTATTGAGCTTATAACCCTCCCGTCAGATGAGGCAGGGCGTATTTCACATAGTCGTGCACAGAACAGCCCTATAGGACTTCAGGCCAGTTCTTCCCTCCCTGAGCAGGGTGCTTATCTGCGTGCAAGGGACGCGAGTACTGAGACCGGAGGAGCAGGAGTGTGGAACGGTGCGTAGACGGCAGCTGGGCAGGAAGTCTGACCTGTCTATTCTCTGCCGGTCGGCACAGCCTGATAAGCTTCCCTGTGAACCTCAGCGACGCCCTCCCCCCCCTTCCCTGCCTCTTCCTGCTTACTGGCCTCAAGGGACTGTATATAAAAGGTACCTGGAGGGCATGAGAAGCCACTTAGCTGCAGACGTCCGGCAGCCACTCACCCTGCGCCCAGGTCTCCTGGCTCTGGAAACAGCTCCGGCTCGGCCTCCACCATGGGCCTCCGCCCCAGCGCCCGCGCCTCCTGTGCCAGGGCCAGGCCCGCGCGCGTCCTGCAGCTGCTGCTGCTGCTGTCACTGCTCCTGACCACCGTGGTTCCCACCTACGTCAGGGAAGGTAAGAGGACCCCGGGACGCTGGAGGGGGAGGCCTGCCCCTGCGCTGCGGCTGCGTCCGTCCGCGGCGGCCTGTCTGGGGGCGGCGTGGCGCCCGGCTGGGCCGCCCCGTGCCCGGCACGTCCCGCCCGCGTGCGGCCCGGGCTCCACAGAGCCTCGCAGACCGTACTCGCAGTGGCCTCCCGGGTCCGTCACCTCCCCTTGCAAACAAGGGAGGCGCGGAAATAACCTGAGAGTAATGCAGTCACGTTTTCTACTCAGGTAAGCATTCCGACAATGTCCTGTGTGTTGGGCTGCAATGCAGGTGTGAGAGGACGCTCTCTTGGATTCATCCCAGCTTTATTCGTCATGTGGAAATAGCCAACCCGGGAGAACATTGCAGCAACGTCGAAGTGATGTGAGTGCCCGCTTCCGTGGCGTCGCCCCGCAGGCCGCCCGCCCCATGCCCGCCCTGTCCCCACTCGGGTCCGTCCTGGGGCTCGGCCGGGCGCAGCTATTCGGTTCTCCCTTGCAGAGCCACGCTGAAAAGTGGAAGGAAAGTCTGCCTGAACCCAGACTCCCCGGTGATCAAGAAAACAGTCTATGAAATGATGGATGGTGATGACGAGGATGAGTGATCTGCCAGTCTCTGCCAAACCTTTTTACCTACCAGGAGGAGCAGGATTTTTAAGTCTTGACTTTATAGGGTTCTTATTTATCCAGGATACCCATGCTGCTGTATTAAAATTTGGATATGTTTTTCATTCTGTATCAAAAATCACATTTTACTCCGAGAAGACTTGTTAAAAGATAATACAAAGATGAAATAAGCAAACCTAGTTTCAACAGCAAATATATATGGTTTACTGCCTAATTCTTAGATTAACATTGTACCCTCCTCTGCATTTCTTTATTTGAAAATTCCTTTCCCAATGTATTTGTGGTAATTTTTCTTGCATTTGTTTACTTTTAGACTAGACATGCCCAGAATGATTAATAGATTCCATAATGGTCCATGATACTAGGATTCACACAGAGCCCAACATAGAATAATTGCTCAATAAATGTTTGTTAATATATTGAGGAACTTGGAGTTTTTCAGTGTCTTAATCCTAGTATGTCTTATTTCAAAGCATTCTCTAAAAGGTTTTTTTCTGCTGTTTACTTTAGGCTTCAAACTTTAAAAATAAAAAAAAATGTGGAATGCAAGTCTTGGAAGCAGTCATTCTTTTCTCTTAAGTGAATATATTTAACAGTAGCTGAACACAAACATACAATAGCATAAAAAAGCATTACTTTACACTATTAAAAAGTCTAGTATTTTTTGCAACAACAAAAAAATAGATTTTACTTAATGTTGAATGTTTCACTCTGGCATGTTTATATATATTTGCATTTACTTAATATCTCCATGGTTACAATTTAGGTATTAGAATTGCCCTTGCAAATAAGTATAATAGAAAACTTTACTAGATTATTATTTTTTATCAATGGAATTTTATTACTTTCTTAACCCATACAATTTATACCCACAGTATTCTTACAGAAGTATTAACATGAAAGCAAAATTTGCTATTAATTTGTTGTCATATATTATTTATTTTAACATAATTGTTATGGGAAAAAAAGCATTAATTCCTTTGTGTTTCTTTTCCCCCCACATTGGTATTTGGAAATCACTAAGTTGATGATCTGTGTCATACTTAGTGTAGTATAATATTAATAATAGTTCAAATTCATTAATCACTTTATGCCTTGCATAGTGAGTGTTTGACATGCATGAATCAAGCAGTTTTTAAAAGTTAGGTATGATCTGGTTAAAAGGGCATCCTCTGCCAACAGAATAACTAGGTAACCTGGCTTCACCACTGGCTAGCTGTATGACTGTGTTCAGGTTGCTTAATATCTCTGGTCCTTAGTTTCTTCATCCCTAAAATGGGGATAACAGTGTCTACCTCATAGAGCTGATGGTAAGGATTAAAAGAGCTAATTCATTCAAGGTGCTTAAAATCATGCATGTCACCCTATAACCCATATAAAAATGTGCGCAATTATTTGTTATTCTTGCTATTAGCATCCCCAGGATTATAGACAAGAAAAGTGAAGTCAAAGAGAATAAAAAATTTGCCCCAAGATGTAGGTGAGAGCAGGAATAGAAACTGCATCTCACCCACCACACCAGACCACTGCCCATAGTTCTCCTTTCTCTAACGAAGAGATCACATAGCGTCGTGGATGCACAAAACAGGACTTGACACACAAACAGCGTACTGTGTAGACCATACTGGCTATAGGAGAGGAAGTGAGTTCACCCCTCCCACCTGTGCATGGACCTTGGGCAGCACCTGTGTACTGAGCACGCAGCTCGCACATTCTGCATTATTAAGCCTCTTTTTATTATCTCCTCACCTCCACAGGCTCAATGACTTAGAGTGCTTTGTCTATAAAACACATGCATTGATCAACAGTTAACCAAAACACACATAAACATATAACAAAACAGTAAATGAGGATTGTGATCATTTTCATTATTGTAGGGAAATAAAAGTTCCCTCCATGGCCACCGATGGAGCCACCACTCCTTCCCACACTCCTGTCTGCCCACCTCCCCACCGCTCTCAGCCGACCCTGGGTTCGCTATGTCCACCGAGAGGTTTTATTCGGATACTGAGTGGTCAAGACAGACAAAAGAAAGCAAGGAATTGCTATAATCTGTCAAGGGTGGTTTCCTGATGTCCTGACCTCAGGACACTTTGATTATGAAACCGTGGCCTGAAAGCATTTTTTTCATGCATTCTTGCAAACAAACATGTGCTGAGTGCTTAGTGTGAACCACACCCTTATTGGAGACTGGTAAATGCCAGAGAAAAGACACGCGAGGGCTTTCCTTGTAGAGCACAAAATCCTGCACGAGAGTCGCAAACCCATGGCCCCCGTGATACATATGATCTCTATCCAAGAGGCAAGATCATCCTTGGGAGGAATTATAGCCTTTGATGGAGGTGACATTGGAAATGGTCCCTGAACATCAAGCTGAGCACCAGTGACAGGGCCATACCGCTCCTCCTGCTCAGTCTCTCTGCACTCTCTGCATCCATGTTGAATTCCAGGTTAAAAAAGTAAATTTCTTATTTTTTCTCAGAAAATGTTTCCAGCTTCCGTGCTGCTGCTCACTTGGCCCCCTCATGCTCGCCTGAGGCAGCTCCCTCATGCACACAGCTTTGCCTTTCAGCTCCTGTCCTTCCAGGAAAGAGGCCCGGGTCCCTGGAGATCTGTACGTTGCTAAGTGGCTTGGGGCTCCAGGCAATCCCACATCATTCTGTCCTACGTTATGGACTATGAGTTCAGTGGTGGCACACTCTGTCTTTTCCCTCTTTGTAAACTAATTTAAAGATAATTCAGCTCCTGGCTCATAAGTGGCAGACGGATGGGAAATGAAAGAATAGACACTTGCATCACCAATGAGGCAAACAGAGCAACTTGTGTTGAAAATGATCTCTGCTTTCATTCTCTGGGAGGTAGGTTCTCCCCAAGACTGGCAAAATTCTAGGCCCCCCATTTTACCACTTTAACAAGCCCAGGGAGAATTAAGAATGTCTGTTTTAGTTGTTCCAGCAAAAAACTCGAGGGACTGTTTCTGATTTGTCTGGGCTTTGGTCAGTTGCCCACCTCTAGACTTAGTCATCAGAGAGAGTGTGGGGGCTGTTCTGGATCCCACGCGCTGAGAGGCTGAGAGCAGGTAATCAGGGTTTGTGACCAGACGAAAGAGAAAGGGGAGCCAGACAAGCGTCACTGGGGAGACTGCACAGAGAGGCGACCCGACTCCAGCACACACCGTGCCCTGGGACTGTGGGGTGGGGGGCGGGGACTCTTCTCCCCTCAGAGCCAGAGTCGCTGCTCCACAAGGGATGACCTTAGGGAAGCAGGAACGGTAGCTGGGAGGGACATGCTTCTAAAGCAAGCCAGGCTAGAGCAGAGCTACGCTGCCCATTCGTGCCCGATAGTCAGCACGGTCACTTCTCGGTGTGGACGAGTCAGTGCCGCAGTCGAGGCTCCCCAGAAAAGCAGAGCCTGAGTCATGGGCCTGCCATGCGGGTCATTTATTAGGGGAGTGTTCCCGGTGCATAGGACTGAAGAAGTAAGAAGAGTGAAATAGGAAACTATGGTCTGGGCAAGTGGAGTTCAACCCTAGTGGGGACCCTCAGCGAAACAGTGTAGAATGCCTGCCTAAAATACACAAAAGGGAGAAACATTGATCCATTGGCCTCCGATCCCCATGGGAAAGGGAGGTTGCACGGAATCAACAGAGAAACACTGGGCCAGAGGTGACAGACACCTGCTGCAGCTGAGGCAAGTGGCTGCCAGGTCACACCTGTAGGCAGCTGGCTGCTGTGGCAGTGACTGGGTTGAAACAGTGGCCTCGACAATATGAGCACCCTGGGTTCCACTGTCTGTTCTGAGAGTTTCCATGATGATTACAGGGCAAGTGGATTTCAACCACCAAAGCTTCCATTTTTGAAGCTTCCTCTGTTTCTTTAAGGATCGTTGGTCACGTAGATTTAAAGCATGCATAGACACCTGGCCTTCAACCCTTGGTAAGTAATTGCCTGGGAGAAACACTTGTTCACACAAGAGAATGAATGTGTTTATCACTCCAAGCTAAAGCATTCCTTTGCTCACACATTTCAGATTGTAGCTTAGGGTGACCTCATGGATTCAAGTGGCATATTAAGGAAAAAACAACAACAACGAAAACAACAAAAAATTTTCCTTTTTGCTTCACTTACAAAAAACAAGTGATTTTGATGAAGTCATTTCCAGGAGTCAAGTTGTGCATCATCTGCAAGTGTCAGCTGCCTGTAGACATGCTTGATTTGCCTGATGCGCTTGGCAGCTCCTCTAGCTACTTGGAGCTATACTCTCTTTGTTTCCTCGTTACATGAGAGTTGGGTTGGCTCTGGAGACCATTACAGCAAACTATCTGTCTTTTCTCAGTTACGAGAACTAGATGAGAGACGTGCACAGCATGATTAATGCTGAAGACAAACTATTGAATCCTGTGAATTAGGATGAAGCATCAAAACTAGGGCAGTAGATATTTTGGATTTTCATATTTGTGCAAATATGTATCTAGCAAAAATTCAATTTCCTTTCTAGAAAGCTAGCAGGTAAAGCACACTTATCCACTAATTTCCTTTTGGCATTATTCTAAACTGATTTAGAAAGAGAAACTTTTTTATAAATAAACATTATATTTAGAAAGAATTTTGAATTTACAAAAAGTGCAAAGATAATAAAGTGTCTGTGCCCCTTCCACCCAGTTCCCCTATAGTGAACATGTCACATCACCATGTCCATGCTAAGAAACCGACACTGGCACATTCCTTTTAACTAAACTCCAGACTAAATCACGTTTCACCAGCTTCTCCATTGATGCTCTCTTTCTGTTCCAAATGCAGTCCAAGCGCTCATGTCTCCACACTTGCCTCTGGCCTGTGATTGGTTTTTAGTCTTTCCTTATTTTTCATGATCTTGACAATTTTTTATTTCAGCATATTACAAGGTACAAATGACAAAAATGTTTAGGTTACATATATTGTCTTTGCCCCACCCGAGTCAGAGCTTCAAGCGTGTCCATCCCCCAGACAGTTCACAGTGCACCCATTAGGTGTCAATATACCCCTCCCCTCTGCCCCCCTCCCATCTGCCCAACAACAGATAAATGCTACCACTATATGTGCATGTAAGTGTTGATCAGCTAATACCAATTTGATGGTGAGTACATGTGGTGCTTGCTTTTCCATTCTTGGGATACTTCACTTAGTAGAATGGGCTCCAGCTCTATCCAAGAATATACAAGACGTGCTAGATCACCATTGCTTTTTGTAACTGAGTAGAACTCAATGGTATACACATACCATATTTTATTAATCCACTCATGTATTGATAGGCACTTGGGTTGTTTCCACACCTTTGCAATTGTGAATTGTGCTGCTATAAACATTCTAGTGCAGATGTCTTTTTTATAGAATGCCTTTTTTTCCTTTGGGTAGATGGTCAGTAATGA